GAATTAGGGACTTCAGTGTCCACTTTTCTCATTGGTATCAGAGCTGCAATCCCAGCCTGTGCTCTCTAATCTATTAGAAGTCTCCTTGGTTTGCTATGCTTTTCCCCGACAGGAGCTCTCTTGGGAAATTGGCCAAAACGAACAAAGCTTCTCCAAAGTCAGCCAAGGAAAGTACAGCTCTGAGGCTATCACTGCTTCTCCAGGCAGTGACAGATTAGAATTTGTAATTGTATCTTTTGATCACTTATAAATCAGGAGTTGACAGACTTGGGTATATTTAAAAAAGCTGTTGTGTAAAGTTTCTCTTTTTTTCCCCTCTCCCACCTAAATCATGGGAAATTAATTTGCACTCTTGTCAGCATAAGGCATCTGTATCTTTGTAATGAAACAAATATAAATTAAAATTAGAATATTTGACATTTTGAAGTGAAGACCTAATGTAGGATTTTGTGTACTTGATATGCATTGTATGATATAGACTATTTCAAGCCTGAGGCCGCAGTCATTTTTCCATTTCAGTAGCCCAATGAGTTTTTTAGGAGATTGCCTAAAGTATTTTATTCCATATTTTATACCCTGGAAACAAATATTACTCAGAAAAACAAATGGGTGAGGCCTTACTAAACTAGAAAGTTCACTAGCGTGACCAGACAGCAAGTGTGAAAAATTGGAACAGGGGGTGGGAGGTAATAGGTGCCTATATAAGAAAAAGCCCCAAATATTGGGACTGTCCCTGTAAAATAGGGACATCTGATCACCCTAAAGTTCACTCTCTTTGGTCTGTACGGTTTGTTTTTGTATGAAAATAGATTTTGCTTTAATAAAGGAACAGGATTGGATAAGTCAAGAGTTAGTAATGGTATATGGAGTCTTTCACATCTAGGAAGAATGGTCTAGTGGTTAGGGTGCTAGCCTGAGACTTGAGACCCACGTTCAATTCCCTGCTTCACCATAAAGTTCCTGTATGATCTTGGGCAAATCATTTAATTTTTCTTCCCTAATTCCCCATCTATAAAATAGGGATATTATTAATTCCTTGCCTCACAGGAGTGTTGAGAGACACTCCGATAGTAAAGGGATGGGTGTCACACAAGTACTATAGGTAGATCTAGGTTGTGATGTGATGTATCCCCAGGTGAAGCCTGGAAACTGTTGGAACCGCTGTGTTCCCCTAACTATTCAGCTGGGTTGCCCTCTCCCCATGGTCTGCTGGCGACACACAGCCAGTCCCTCTGGGCCCTGTTATCACCCTAACATGACAGCAGGTGGCACCACACACACAACTAAGTTACCTGAGTGCTTTACCTAAGCCACTCATGGACCAACAATGGAGGCACCAGCCAATTTCCCAGGTCCCCAGCATTGCATCCCTATTGGAGCATATACCCAGAATTATACCATCTTGCACTGCACAGGCATTTGTACGGTGCAAGCTCATTAATTATTCTGTCCTCCTCCCCCCTGCTGTGGGGAAGATATGCCCCAGCATTTGTTAACACAGCTAAGATTCTCAAACACTTCACTCAAAAACATCCTGGTTAAGATAAAACAGGTTTATTAACCACAGAAAGATAGATTTTAAGTGATTATAAGTGATAGCAAACAGATCAAAGCAGGTTACTTAGGAAATCAAACAATCGCAATCTAAGTCTCATACAAACTAGATAGGATTTGAATCAGCAATATCTCACCCTGACTGATGGTACAAGCAGTCTTACAGATTCTTGATATGCAGGCTGCATCTGCTTGGCAGCCTGGGTTCCCCTCCACTTTTCAAAGTCTTTTGTCTTCCGTAGGTTCTTTCAGGTGTTGAGTTGTGGGGGAGTGAAGACAAATCAAGATGTCACTCCCTGTATTTTATAGTTTCTTCCAGTTTGCTGGAAAGTCTATAAATGTGAAGGGGGGTAGGGTGGGAGGAAGGAAGGGGTTCGCCTCCATTGGCCAAACATTCTCCATTGTCTCCGTGCTCCCTGGGAGGAGGCTTCCTTATACCGAGTTCCTGTGTTAGTGGATTCTTCCCTTGATGGGTGTTGATGACAGCAATTAACACTGTCTGGCTACTCCATTGTTGTACCTGAAAGGCTAGTTTGGGGTATTTCCAGCTTCACATCATATTTTAATAACTCACACATAGCAAGATTTCATAACTTCACATGCAATGATAGCACATACAGTCCAACAAGATATTAATGTTTAGCAGATCCAGACTTTTAGAATGATACCTCTCATGGCATACTTTGTACAAAACATCTCATAATTACATCACCATGATAAATATGGGGTGCTTTGGGGTGCAAAGTGCCACATAGGTTACAGCTTCAAATCCAGTGGGAGTTTGTGAAAGCTGTCACCAACTGATGGCTGACAGGTGCCCTAGGTGCAATGAGATGGTGGGTTCAGTTCAGTTCCTATTGCAAAAACAGCATCAAAATGAGAGGAAGGATCATGTTGTGGTTAAGGACTGGAACTTGAGAGATTTGTTCCTGATTAAGCCACAGACTTCCTGAGTGACCTTTGGCAAAAAAATATTTAACGTGTTGATACTTCAGTTTTCCAGTCTGTAAAATGAGGCTGATAATACTTTCCTATATCAAATGGGTATTATGGGTCTAATTTCATTAAGTTGGTGTGATGCCCATACACTGTAGTTGTGAACAGCATAGAAAAGCCTATAAATCAGTACAACTGGTACCCTTCTTGTTACAGAGGCTACAGACTGAATAAAGACTAAACTAGAGTTCACAAAGACTCTTAGAGTTCATCCCTTCATATCACAGCTAGGACTGTTCAGGGAAAGTTTTCACTGCCATTACACTGTGGGTTCCATTGATTAGCCAGCTAAGCCCCCTTCATTTGCCACATTGTTTTTCTAGCAGAGAAATAAAGATGGAGAGCAAACCAAGGCACGTAGCTGTTATTTGGCTTGACTTAAATGTTTTCACACCCGCTTAAATGGAGAACTCAAGCACTATAACCTAATGTACCGTTAATGCAGAGTGGCATGTACCTGTAAGAGGCTGTAACTTAGTGTTTGTTCTTGTTGAGTAGATTCTGCCTCCTGTAAGATGTTTGGAACAGAAATACCATGAGTTGGCCAAGAACAATCCGGCAGGATCCCAACTCCAGCCATCCTTTTCCAATTAGCAGTGAAATGTGACAATGTTTTCGATGCCCACTTAGGTTGGGTTTTAAGGTTAGGGCTCAGATTAGCTCTGTCAGGCTATTTGTGTAGCTCAAAGTCTGTTTATACAGCAGGTCACTCCCTCGTTTCCCTTCTTGAGATGTAATAGTAATGCCACTGCTGATGCATCAGAAATTTAATGAGATGTGAAATTTCAAACTACTAGTTTTTGGGCAGTTGTGTGTTTTATGAGCTTCTGAGACATGGCCTTGGAAGAGGTCCTGTGTACCAAGTTCTGCCTGCAGTGAGTTGCATGAGCACAGTTACTCTTGAATTCGGTGGGGTTTGTGCATGTGTCTTCAAGGGCATCTTTGTCCTTCTGTGTGAGTTTGTCACATTACTCTCGTCCAGTGCAGCACAGCTCCATCATAAATATTTTAAGTATCTTTCATTAGAGGGTCTCATAATACTGTACAAGCAGTAAAGATATGATTCACCACTTTGCTACAAAGCTGACTCAGGACACTAAATGGGATTTTGGGCAGGAAGGAAAACAAATTTATCTGCAAAATCCAGAGGTGAGCAAAGGGGCTGAATAGCCACGTGGAGTGTGTGTGTGTGTGTGTGGGAGGGGGAGAGGTGTTTTAAATAACTTACTTTATGGTAAGGGATGGGTGATTTTATAGGAATAGAGACATGGCCTAAAAGTGAAGTCCATGTCAAGCTGGGTTAGTGCATATCTTGCAGTCAGTCTCTCTGCAGGACTCCCCTTGACATCAGAGAGAATTTGATCAGGCGAGGGGTTATCTTCTGGACAGGGCTTAAATTCTCAGAGTATTTCCCAGAGCCCCCAACCCCCATTCCTCATGGGAGGTGCTCAGGGGCTTGGGGCTTCAGCCCCACAAGAGGTGCTTATATGGACCTCCTGAAACCAGCTTGCAGCCCCCCCGTTGGGAACTGTTGGGAACTCAGACAGGAGCCAAGTTTTGAAAATATTTACCGGTGCTCTGTTCCAGTCAGCTCCAGCTGAATTTAAACCATGCTTCTGGACATGACAGCCTTTAAACCTGTGTGCTCATAGGGAAAATAAGCCATTATTCCTTGTGCAAGTTCTGTTTTTCTTCCAATCAGCACCTGTTTCTCCCTTTTCTTTACGTATTTAAATCAGTCCCAAGGTGGTTCCTACTAGCCCTTAAAAACCTGATATGTGAAACTGTGATTACCCTGGCTCCTGAATTGGAACTTTTGGTAAGAGAAATTTCTGTTTTTTCATGAAGCACCAACTGCATGCTTGACGCTTTACAGACAAGCGCCCAGCCAGAGTCCTTGTTCTGAAGAGTTTACAATCTTAGTATTTTAATGATGCCTGTTTTGTCTTGGTTTATTTCCTTATCTGTATGTTAGAAGAACTCAGTGAAATCTTTCCCATATTAGGGAAGGATGATGAGAGGAAGGATGGCCTTGTGGCTAAGGCACTGGACTATGACTCAGGAAATATGGGTTTAATTCACAGCTGTGCCACAGACTTGCTACATGATCTTGCACAAGCCACTTAATCTCCCTTTGCTTCCGTTTCCCATCTGTCTGGTGGAGGTAACTCTTCCCTTTTCCTGCCCTTCCTGTCTTGTCCGTTTAGACTGTAAGGCATTGTCTCTTTACCACGTGGATTTACAGTGACTAGCACAATGAAGTCCTGATCTCAGCTGAAGCCTCTAGGCAGTATGGCTGTAATACAAATAATATTGGAAACTGTTTTAATTGCTACATTGCTAAGATAATTTTCAGTTCGAAGATGTGACTGAGGATGAATCACTTGAGTGCAGTTCTCTGAATTTTCCCAGGAGGCTATTCCCGATGTTCTTTTCTCTTTCCCCTTCAGCTGGTGAATCGACACTTGTATTCGGGGAGTGCAGACAAGACGGTGAAGTGCTGGTTAGCAGACACTGGGGAGCAAGTCCAAACATACAAGACTCACAAACACAGCGTTAGCACTTTGAAATACCATGCAGGAATCTGTAAGTTTCCGTTCCAGAAATTTTGTCTCATTTTCCCTGCTATTTATGGATGTTTTTCCTTTGATTAAAAGTGAATAATAAAGGTAACATTATAGCTGTGAGGAGTGAGATCTTGTGAAATCTTCACTGACTCTTCCTCCTGCTCTAGTGCTACCAGATTCAGCACCAAAGTATGGCGCTCACTCTGCTGGTGAGCGGTTGCTGAGAGCACCTTCACTTCTCCCAAGCAGAACATTAGTGCAGGTGCATGCAGCTGCTTCTACTCCCTGGCTGCAGCGGGATCCGTTTATTTCTGCACATCTCACAGTATATCTGGATGGGTTGGAAGCGTGGCTGGGTTCCGTCCTCATGTGCACCAGCTAGCATGAGAGCCAGTGGCGTAGCTAGGTGGAGCGTACAGGGGCAGTGGACATAAAAAAAGGTGCCACCCGCTGTACTCACCCGGCGGCACTGAAGGTCCCCGCTGCCAAAATGCCGCTGAGGACCCGGAGCGAGTGAAGGCCCCCGCCGCCGAAGTGCCGCTGAGGAGCCGGAGCGCGCGAAGGCCCCCGCCGCCGAAGTGCCGCTGAGGAGCCGGAGCGCGCGAAGGCCCCCGCCGCCGAAGTGCCGCTGAGGAGCCGGAGCGCGCGAAGGCCCCCGCCGCCGAAGTGCCGCTGAGGAGCCGGAGCGCGCGAAGGCCCCCGCCGCCGAAGTGCCGCTGAGGAGCCGGAGCGCGCGAAGGCCCCCGCCGCCGAAGTGCCGCTGAGGAGCCGGAGTGCGTGAAGGCCTCCGCCGTCGAAGACCCGGAGTGCCGCCGGGTGAGTAAAAATTTTAAAAGGTGCCTATAAATTAAAAGGGCACCACTTGTGCTCAGAGGCGGAGTGGCTGCTCCCCCCACTTCCCTCCTGGCTACGCTACTGACTAGAGCATGCAGGTATAGCAAGATATTGGGTTTGTGTAATGCACAATTTATTGTTCTCAAACTAAAATGTACATCTGTGAAACCTGGCTCCTTCCCCTTCCAAAACATTCTGTCTACTTTGACCTGAAAGCTAAAACTCCTATTCAGACCTTCATAATCTCCCATACTGATTCCTGCAAATAAGTAATGTCTTGTGTCTACGAACCCCATCAAGGCCTCATTGTGGTAGGCACTACAAACAATGAAGATAGTTCCTGCCTCAGAGAGTTTACAGCCTAGACTTCTCACCATATCCTCGCCGCTCTCTGAATCCCTTTGTAGGCTATCTCTTCTAGCATGGCTCATTTACACTTCTTGTTCTTGGCTTCAGGATCATGTATAACGCTGATCCTAGATAGTCATCATCCTGAGCAGCGATGAGCTGCCAAAATCTGAAGAACCGATTCCTTCAGTCGCTCCAGGTCTTTGGCGGCACTTCGGCAGCGGGTCCTTCACTCGCTGCGGGTCTTCAGCGGCACTGAAGGACGTGCCGCCGAAGCCCCAGAGCAAGCGAAGGACCCGCCGCCGAAGTGCCGTCAAAGACCCGGAGCGCTGCCGGGTGAGTAAAAATTAAAAAGGGATTCCAAGCCAGGGGAGCCTCCCCAGCCGGGAGCTCAGGCGGGCCGGACAGGATGGTCCTGCGGGCTGGATGTGGCCCATGGGCCGGAATTTGCCCACCCCTTTAACAATCGGTTCTAAACTGGCTTCAAAATTTAACAACTGGTTCACGCAAACTGGTGCAAACCGGCTCCAGCTCACCACTGATCCTGAGCCTTTTTATGTATCATCCTCTGGCCTGATCTGCCAGTGATGTAGCTGTGGTGTGCTATTTGCCCAATAAATGTCTCCATACCTTCTTGCATACAGGCAACATGGAAGAAATGCCCTTCCTGAGCCAATCCACAAGGCCACTGCTCTCTCTTCAGCTCCCTCTTCCACATCTGCCTCAAATAGGATACCTGCAAATAACTCTAACTGCATTGTTGTAGGGTAATTTGGAACTAACGGTCCATCCCTATAGGTGAAAGGGCAGTACAATGGCAGGTGAAATTTACTGTTGACAAATAGAAGGTAATGCACATTGGAAAGAATAATATGAGCTACTCAGACATACAGATCATGGGTAAACAATGATTAGCTGACATAATGCTGAACATGGTTTTCCTTGGTCCACACTGGCTGGTTGGTCATGATCAGAATCAAGTAAGCTAACTTGATTTCATAGTTGTTCTGGGGCACTTAAAAAGTGTTCAGGTAGACAAGCCCAGAGGCATGATACTGAACTATATACACTATATATTACTACAAAAGGTTCACCCCCACTCTCCTGCTGGTAATAGCTCACCTTTCCTGATCACTCTTGTTACAGTCTGTATGGTAACACCCATTGTTCCATGTTCTCTGTGTATATAAAATCTCCCCACTATATTTTCCACTGCATGCATCCAATGAAGTGAGCTGAAGCTCACGAAAGCTTATGCTCTAATAAATTTGTTAGTCTCTAAGGTGCCACAAGTACTCCTTTTCTTTTTATATACACTGCTGGTCTGATCCACTATTGTAACTCCTACTTCCTGTTGGGGAGGAGGACAGGAGAGGTGAAGGGGTGGGAGGTCTTTCTTTGTTTAATGAGAGCATGAGAAAGACTAAAGTCTCAGAACAATTCCCGCTCTGTAGCTCAGCTGGGAAATCAATTGACATTGGCTCACTTGAAAGATTACACACAGTTCAAATAAAACTTTCCAAGCTGCCACCCCAGTATTGCTAGATTTTGCACACTTTGCCGTCTTTTCTTTCATCCCCTTCTCTTTCCATAGCACTCCACGCTCTGTGACTAAGCAGTCACCATTGATATATTTAGCCAGACCTGGGAGAAACATGTGACAGAGGTGTTCACAAGGGTATTATTAGCTTTTAATATAATAATAAAAGCTGAAAGGATTTGACGAGAGAATCATAGAATATCAGGGTTGGAAGGGACCTCAGGAGGTCATCTAGTCCAACCCCCTGCTCAAAGCAGGACCGATCCCCAATTAAATCATCCCAGCCAGGGCTTTGTCAAGCCTGACCTTAAAAACTTCTAAGGAAGGAGAGTCCACCACCTCCTTAGGTAACGCATTCCAGTGTTTCACTACCCTCCTAGTGAAAAAACTTTTCCTAATATCCAACCTAAATCTCTCCCACTGCAACTTGAGACCATTACTCCTTGTTCTGTCATCAGCTACCACTGAGAACAGTCTAGATCCACCCTCTTTGGAACCCCCTTTCAGGTAGTTGAAAGCAGCTATCAAATCCCCCCTCATTCTTCTCTTCTGAAGACTAAACATCCCCAGTTCCCTCAGCCTCTCCTCATAAGTCATGTGTTCCAGTCCCCTAATCATTTTTGTTGCCCTCTGCTGGACTCTTCCCAATTTTTCCACATCCTTCTTGTAGTATGGGGCCCAAAACTGGACACAGTACTCCAGATGAGGTCTCACCAGTGTCGAATAGAGGGGAACGATCACGTCCCTCGATCTGCTGGCAATGCCCCTACATATACATCTCAAAATGCCATTGGCATTCTTGGCAACAGGGGCACACTGTTGACTCATATCTAGCTTCTCGTCTACTATAACCCCTAGGTCCTTTTCTGCAGAACTGCTGCCGAGCCATTCGGTCCCTAGTTTGTAGCGGTGCATGGGATTCTTCCGTCCTAAGTGCAAGACTCTCTGCACTTGTCCTTGTTGAACCTCATCAGATTTCTTTTGGCCCAATCCTCCAATTTGTTTAGGTCCCTCTGTATCCTATCCCTACCCTCCAGCGTATCTACCTCTCCTCCCAGTTTAGTGTCATCTGCAGACTTGCTGAGGATGCAATCCACACCATCCTCCAGATCATTTATGAAGATATTGAACAAAACCGGCCCCAGGACCGACCCTTGGGGCACTCCACTTGATACCGGCTGCCAACTAGACATGGAGCCATTGATCACAGCCATTGATGAGACAGCTGACTTGTCCCATTTGGGAAATAGAACATCAAGTGGGCAATGAAGAACATTAGTGACCTGTTTGGGAAGAATAAACACACCATTCTAACCTTGTAAAAGAGAAACTGCCCCCTTACAACCAGTAATTTGTTTACAATATGATTTGTTACAGTAGCGCCTAGAGGCCCCAGTAGAGATAAGAGCATCACTGCGCTCAGCACTGTACACATGCATTGTCAGAGGCGTTGCCTGCTCCAGAGAGTTTACAGCTGAAAGAAGACGAGCCAGACAAAGTATTATTTTTGCAGATGGGGAACAGAGAAAAGAAACAATTTGCCCAAGGTCACACAGGAAGTCCACAGCAGAGCTGGGAATTGAATCCAAGTCTCTTGAAGGCCAGGCTAGCATCCTAACCACACAACCATGCGTCATCTTCTCTTTGCTTCTGTAACTAATAACACCACAGATTATTAAAACTAGATTTTTTTTCAGTGCAATTTCTCTTTCACGGGTTATGCTTGTTGTTTCTCTCTTACGTTTTTGGGCTTGGACAATGAAAATGAATTTAGTCAACTCAGATGTCTGTGCTGCAGTTTTTGTGTTGCAAAGGTTGCCAGGAAATCTTGTTTAAGAACTGCTCCTTGCACTGAATTTTAACCCCTTCTTCTCCAACCCCCTCCACCCTCCATAAAAGGGGTTTCTATTGGGTTTGTAGGTAGGTTTGGATACAAATTTATTTATATACAAACTAAATGTTGGCCCAAACTTGATTTTACATTGCCCTGTTGAAGCTCAGTTATACAAATAATCTCTTTAAATGCAAAATGACAGTTCACAGGGAAATAAAGGATACCTGTCAAAAGGCAAATCCTAAAAGAAAGAGTGAACTAAAATGTACTTGCTAAGAGCAATGCAGTTGCTGCTCCAGCCTTCCCTTGCTTAATTTGAGATCTGCAAAGCTTGTGCCACTAGATGTACAGTGACAGGTTGCTCGGTGTACCAGTAAATAATACTGAACTACCACGTTTGTCCATTTCCTCTCTTTCAGTAGTCAATCAATGCCTTGTCATCTGTTTTGAGGGGTGAGATGGCTGGAGACAGAATGTGAATCCTTGGATGCCCTTCTGTTTCACAAAACTTTCCACACTGGCAGTTTATGATGAGGCATGAAATACAAGGATCACTGATTTCACCTATTTTCTATCTTAGTTCAGAAATTTCTATCTGTAGGAAAAGTCAATGAGCTGGGAATAGTTAAGAAAAGTGGTGCCATTAGAAGAGAATGTTCCCCAACCATTAAAGCTGGTTGATATGGTCCTTACTGTGCGTATTAATAGCTAGTTGTTCATAGTCTGAAATGTTCAAAAAAGTCTTGTGATTTTTGTGTGCCCAACCTGAAACTCCTTAAAGGTGCTGAGCATATACTCTCTGAAAATCAGGCCCCTTGAAAGTATCTCAAGTTGGGCACCCAAAATCACGCTTGAATTTATAATAACCTTCCATAGTTCATATAGTATGTGATATACAATATAGACATGACACACACTTTCAATCATTTCTATAAACACCTATACTGTAATGGAATACCAGCTCTAACCTGTGGCTTAAATCACTCAAAGGATGTATTGCTTTCAAGGATCCTAAGCTACAAGAGTTAATTGAAAAAATCAGCTCTTCTGAAAGGAAATGTGTAGAGTTGCTTGAAGATGCATTTACACTGCTGAAGAAAAAGGATTTTCTTTTGTGTGATATCTCTGCACAGAGGAATCCTACCTGTTGATAATAAGCTTTTTTGGTTGAAAAGTCCAGGCTTTATTCTAACAGTGGTAAAGCCGTGCTTCATATATTATGAGAGAAAGTGTCAGACTCGTACTCAATTACTAGGGTTTGCAGTTTTTCTTTCAAAATCAGAAGGGTATTTGCCTCCGCTGCTTGATGCAATAGAAGAAACCAGTGAAGATACTACAGCAAGGAATGGGCCCCTGGAACTGTATGGTGTTCAAAGATAATGAAGGCTTCAGAAAAATCTTTGAAACTCTAGAGACTGTCAAAGCATGTGTATAGACAGGGAAACATACAGAGAGAAGGAAGGGAAACCTAAATGTGTGCAATTAACGTGGTCGGGTAGACTTAACGTGAGAAGGAACCATAGACTTGAGGAGGAGCTCAGTACTTTGAAAAATGAGAGGTGTGTGTGAGGGAAACAAAGCCCAGAAGGAATTTAGGTTGAGTGTAATGAATGTGTAGCATGGAACAACAAATGTAGCCACAGAAGCAGCAACTGGTTGCTTTACAAATAAAACGAATGTTTTTGAGTGGGGAACATTTCAGGGGTAAAGTCGGGAGCTGGTTAGATGAACCTGAGGCATGGCAGCATCTCCTGGAGGAAGATACCCATGTTAATAAAACAGGGTCCTTTGCCGTCATTTCATGTTATGTGCAGTAACTTCTTCCTCCCAGTGGATTATGTACATTGGCATTCTGGACCAGATCCTCAGCTCCAGTAAATCCAGATAGTGCCACTGAAGTTCAGTGGAACTCTGCTGACTCTCATTAGCTGAGGGTCTGGCCCCACATCATCTAACCCTGCTCAGAGCAAACCTGTATTTCATGGTGATTCAAACATCAGTGGCTACTGGTGCATTGTCTACACTACTCTGCTGTTGGAGCTCCAGAGTGCTTAGCAATGGTGGGAAAGACCATAGAAATGTAGGACTAGAAGGGACCATGCACAGAGGCTGGACAAGGTATGATCTAGGCCATCCCTGACGGGTGTTTATCTAACCTGTTCTTAAAAACCTCCACTAATGGAGACTCTACAACTACCCTAGGTAATTTGTTCCAGTGCTTAACTACCCTTAAAGTTAGGAAGCTTTTCCTAATGTGTGACCTAAATCTCCCTTATTGCGATTTAAGCCCATTACTTCTTGTCCTGTCCTCAATGGTTAAGGAGAACAATTTATCATCCTTCTCTTTATAATAGCCTTTTACATACTTGAAGACTGTTATGCCCCCCCCCACACCCGTCTTCTCTTCTCCAGACTGAAAAAAAAAAGGGTTTGTTTAATCTTTCCTCATAGGTCATGTTTTCTAGATCCTTTATCATTTTTGTTGCTCTCCTCTGGACTTTCTCCAATTTGTCTACATCTTTCCTGAAGAGTGGTGCTCAGAACTGGCTGGAGTACTCCAGTTGAGGCCTTATCAGTGCTGAGTAGAGTGGAAGAATTACTTCTTGTGTCTTGCTTACAACCCTCCTGCTAATACATTCCAGAATGACCCTTCTCTCATTTACACAGGACTAAATTGGGAGCAACCTTACTGGTGTCCATGAAGCTAAACTGGTATGAGCAAGTGGAGAATGGGGCCCAAAAAGTGTTTTCCTCGAATAACTGATCCTTTATGATGGGTCATATGGCTATCCTCAAAAGGCCTCATTGCTTCTTTGTGTTAGTGTTTACAGGAAGTGGTGATGCCAGCGCTCGAGCTTTCAATTCAAAGACAGGAGTCCTGCAGAGGGTCTTCCGAGGACACAAGTTCATCATCAACTGCATTCAGGTGAGGAGGGCCTTAAATGTAAAGGACTAAACCTCCAAGCTGTATTTTGATTGTGGTGACCCTGAAATGTGCAGTATGGGATTAAATATGACCCTATTGTTCCAGATTCACAATGAATTATTGTACACAGCTTCCCATGATGGCACGCTAAGGATCTGGGATGTACAAGGAATCTGCAAGCGAAACAAGCATCGCCTGAAGACGGAGCGGTCTGTCCCGGGCAAGAGCTCTCAGAAGGGAAGCCTGTCTCGTCTTTTCAATAACAGAGTTGGCTGCACAATGCAACAGGAGAATGGGGAACTTGAGGCTGTTGAACTAATGTGATTGCCTGGAACAAACTTTCTGAGCCATCTGCTGTGCCACTGGGTGCAGATAAGCCAGACCTTGGAAAGGGGTGGGAAATTATATTGCCCAAAGTGCTCAATCAAGAGTTCACATTCTTGTGAATCATGAAACTACTCTCTTCGGACTATTACTGACATCTCGCCGCATCTCACAGTATATTGTAATGGAAAGTAAACTTACGTGGATGACTTACAGACCAGGGGCAATATGGGGTCAGGAGCCATTGTGGAAAGCAGTCCATGAGATATGCCTTCCCCTGTATTTTTGTTTGTAATTATAATTTGTATTTAAGTCTCCTTTTCCCAGTTCCTCCCTGTACAGTGGTATTTGACCCCACTGCTGTATCATGCTGGTCCCTGACAGGAGGAGAGGCAGGAATAAGTAATAAGCCAATAGGCTCCCTCCCCTTCTTATTGCCTGTTACAACACACTGCGATGGAGCAGAATGTGCAAGCGAAAGCTGCCTTGCAGGATGACTCTGAATTGAATTTTCTCAGCTCCCTTTGGGGTAATAATGTCCTTGCCTCTCGCTGATCCGAGTGACTTTAATGTAGGAGAGTTTGGCTGAGGCACACAGATGCCTGAAGTCTCTCTGGGGCTTGAGCTTACAGCAACAGAGCAGAGATTTAAATGGGCTTTAAAAAACTCCGGCAAACGACCAACCTGAACTTCAGGCCAGTTCCTCCCCATACAGCTTGAGTGGGAGAGCAGGATGGCAGTGGGTGTACCCGGTGGGGAGAGGGCCTTGTTTCCTTGTTGTGGAGCTTGGAAAGCAGGTCAACAGGCTTCAGGGATGCTGGTTCTGAAGGATGTGATGGACGGGGGGGTTGAGTGAATGCAGCCACCCAGTAGCTCTCTGGCGTCTCTGCTCAGCCTGGGCTCCCTTCACATCTCATTAACCCGGCAGCGGTGCTGCCCATTCCATGACAGGTGCCATAGGAGCCAGACAAAAGCTAGAGAGTGCCTGGAGACCATAGAGGCTTTGAAATGAAGAGCATGGGAATGTAGAAGGGTGTTACCATGGAAGAAGGTGGGGACCTGTTGGAAGGGAGGTGGTGGTGTGTAAAGATCTAGAGTGAAATTGCTAGAGACTACCTAGGTGTGCCTGAAGGAAAGGGGTGCAGTAGGTTTGGAAAAGCATCTGAATCAGTGGTTCTCAACCTGTTTATGCGGCCCACAGTGTATTATGTGGGCTGCAGGTTGAGAACCACAGTGCCACCCCCGAACTGCCCACAGGCCCCTATGCCCAGCACCCCTGCCCACAGCGGGGCCAGAAACAGTGCCCTGGGTGCAGGCCGGGCAGCAGCTGGACCTGGACCCCGCCATGCGGGGCTGGGTAGCAGCCGGGACCCGAGTGCTGCTGTGTGGGGCCGGGCAGCTGGGAGCCCTGGCACTGGGCCAGGAGCTGAGTGGGCCAGCAGCCAGGACCTGATAAGGGGGGCCAGGAGCGGAGCCCCACCTGAAACCTGGGGTTCTGCAGCACCCTGGTAAACCCCTAGCTCCCAGTGACCCCCAAATCCTCACTGCCCAGTGGCCCCCCCCCACACCAAACCTATCCACAGACCCACTCACCAGCCCCCTGCTGGCAGGAGTGCTCCAGCAGGCTGCAAGACTGTCTCCCCCTCAGCCAGCCCTGCCCCCACCAGACCAAAGCAGCAAATTCTGAATTTTTTTTAGTACACAGCTGTGCGCTAATTGGGCCGCAGGTTGAGAACAGCTGATCTAAATTTAGGGGTGGCGCACTCGTCTTGTCCAGGTTCACTGCTCCTTGATAATCACTGAGCCATAAATATTCAAGTGTCCTTATATTTTTGTTGTTGATATAGCACACTTTGTAGAATCAATGAAACAGATACGTAACCGTGTGTTTTTATTTTTGTGGCTTTATTTATTCTGTATTGTGGCGGATAAATGCTGTAATACTCTGCGAGTGGGTAATAAACACATGGCATCTATAGATGAAACTGAATCCTTTATTTTCTTGCTGCATACATAGGATTGGCTGCAGACAAATGGCAGTCAGACAGGGAGGAGAAGGGGAGAAGCATAGGGAAAAAATCATGTGAACTTTACAAACATGTCCTCACTTTTCCCGCTTAGATGGGCTGGAGCAGGGGTGGCCAACGTATGGCTCCGGAGCCACATGCGGCTCTTTGGATTGGCCCCGACTCCGGGGCTGGAGCTACAGGCACCAACTTTCCAATGTGCTGGGGGGGGGCTCACTGCTCAACCCCCGGCTCTGCCACACGCCCTGCCCCCCACTCCATGCCCTCACTCCTCCCCCTACCCCCCCGAACCTCCTGCACGCCACAAAACAGCTGATGCGGAGGGAGGGGAGTGCTGATCGGCGGGGCTGCTGGTGGGCGGGAGGTGTTGGGAGAAGCTGTTGGGGGGCTGCTGACGTATTACTGTGGCTCTTTGGCAATGTACATTGGTAAATTCTGGCTCCTTCTCAGGCTCAGGTTGGTCACCCCTGGGCTGCAGTCACGTCTGTTACTAGTGAAGAAGGACGGTCCCTAAATTCTTATGCCCTGCCTGCTACAGCTGTATGATGCCAACATCTCAACGCTTTAATCCACTGAGTTTGACTGACAAAGCCACAAAATACACTGCAGCCTTGGCACAAGGTATGTTATGCTGGGAGCCAGGACACCCTGGTTTCACATCTTGGCTTGCACTAGCTGTTGCACTTCACAACCCTTATTAGTAAGCGAGGGAGCTCATGCCTCCTTCTCCCCCCCGAAGCAGGAGAATGTGACACCCTCCGTTTTACAAATAAAGTCACGGATGGCAAAGTTGGGACCAGAACCTAGCTCTTCGGTAGCACAGTGCCACTCCTCAGTCACACTGCCTGTAAGGGCTTGGCTCAGCCTAACCATTAGCACGCTGTCCTCCCAATGCACAGTAGCGAACCAAGGCAGCCTTACACCTACAATGCTAATACTGTCTAGCAAATAGGTGTGTGAACGGGGGCAAAGTCTGTGCCACGCTGAACCCCACACATAGTGCCTGGGCCACAAGGATAACAGCCGACATTGCCATCAGTTGTTCCTGTGGTGCAAGCAGTCGAGCTGGCGACTGGGGATCAGAAGGTCTTGGGTCAAAGCCTGCTGACTCACACTGGGGGGAAAGTAGCACGCCTCATACGGTGAGGGTTGTCCTAGAAGGAGTTAAAGAAGCTGCCACAGGCCTATCTTTTTCTCTCTCTCTCTTAAATGCAGTGGTGAAAGTCTAGCCTTGCCCAGTGACAGGACCAGTACAGCTATACTCAGATTTCAAGGCCACAAGGGACCACCAGATCACTTAGTCTGACCCTGTGTATAGCACAGGCCCCCAGTGCCATCCAGGACCAGCCCTTTATACCCAACACCCCACGTTAGCGTGAAGTATTACAACCCACGGGAGACTGTTAGGTGCTGCAGACAGAGAAAAGAGGGACTGAGGTGCACCAGTGCCAAGGTGCTGCAGTGGCAGAGAAATGATTGAGATAGACCCAGCTAATTCTGGTTACCCATGTACTGCAGTGGAAAGCAAACACTCCCATAGTCACTGCCAACCTGACCTGGAGGAAAAGTCCCTTTCCACCCCACATATGGTGAGCAGTTAGACCCTGAACAAGACCCAGCCAAGCACCTAATACTCCCGAGGGAATTCTGGTGCCAAAAAATTCTACACCAAAAAATAAAAATTCTATCTGCAACATTTTAAAATGCTGCATATTTTGTCAATAAATAAAGGTGGAGACTGCAGCATGGCTTGGGGGAGAGGGTGTGGGGGGAACACAGGGCCCTGGCTGCACAAAAGTAGGAGATCACCCTGTGCCCCCCTCCAGATTTGGCAGTGGGGCTGCACCTGAGCCTCACCCAGCACAAGGGCCACGGCCCAGGGCCCTGCCCCTCCATGCCAGGTGCCAAGACAGTAAGTGAGAAGAACAGCGTCTCACTTGCATGCCCAGCCCTGGCCACTGATCCAGGTGTGAGGCAAGCAGCTCTGCCTTGCAGGATCCAGGTGTGGAGGGGCTCAGTGTGGGGATCCAGGTGTGGGGTGAGGGTTCTCTGTAGGGCAAGCTGGAGGTGGGCCGTTCAGAAGTGGAAAATCTGGATGCACAGGGGCTTCTTGGGGGGTTCTGGGTACAGAGGGAATGGGACTCTGTGGGGTGGCTGTGTGTGTGTCCAGGTGAAGGTGCTGAGGGAGGGAGGCTTGGTCTGGGTGCAGCAAGTTGGGGTTCAGTGCGGGTGGGAGGGTCTGGGTGCAGGGGGAGCTTGTTGACATGGTCCAGGTGCAGGACGGGTGGGAGTTCAGGTGTGTGTATGGGTGCTTGGTGGGGGGAGTGAGGCTCAGCTGGGGTGTGTGTTTGGGTGTGGGGGAGCCCAGATGAACAGGGGAGCAGCTCCCTATACAATGACCCCCGCACCCCCAAGGCTGAGGAGCGACAGAAGCAGGAAGCGGGGTGGGGGGAGGGTTATCGCAGATGCATCGGAGGAAGATTTTAAAAAAAACCCCAACCTGCCAGACTACTTTGAGGGTAGGGGAAAAATCCTTCCTGATCCCCCTCCAGCAGGCTGCCTGAAACATGAGCTTTTATGAGCATAAAATGGACGTGAGCCCTGCCCCCCCCACCATCACAAGTAACCCCTTCATACAGTTACACCCATAACATTGTCCAGATTGTTCTGGACACAAACTAAGATACTAACTCAACCTTCTACTGCTTAGCAACCTTCTTCTAATCTCCAGCCTGAATTTGTTCATGGCCAGTTGACCCCCCCCACACACTTGCCCTTGAGCCAACATTGTCCTTTAGCTTAAGTAGCTTGTCACCAGGGGTGAAAGTAAGTCGAGTGACTTACCGGTACTCTGGGGCCAGCTCTGGCCCCCAGAAGGGGCGGGGCCTAGGGCGGAAGGGGCGGGGTTGAGGGGGTCAGAGCCATCCCCAGCCCACCCTGTAAGGTAAGTGCCCCCCCCCCACCGGGGTAGCAGCAGCAGCCCAGGGCTCCAGGGTCTATTTAAAGGGCCCGGGGCTCCCCTCTTCTACTGCCCCGTCCTTTAAATAGCCGCCAGAGCCCTGGGGAAGCAGCAGGGCTCCAGCAGCTATTTAAAGGACGGGGCGGCAGAGGTAGCTGGAGCCCCGGTCCATTAAATAGCCCCTGGAGCCCCCACTAGGAGCTCCGGGGGCTATTTAAAGGGCCCCGCGGATCCCCTGCTTCTACCGCCCTGGTCCTTTAAATAGCCGCCGGAGCCCTGCAGCCGCTACCCCAGGGCTCCAGCAGCGCGGCTCTGGAGGCAATTTAAAGGGCCTGGGGCTCCAGCTACTGCTGGAAGCCCCAGGCCCTTTAAATTGCCCCCTGGGGAAGCCTTACCGGTACCAGGGCGTACCGGCTTACTTTCACCTCTGCTTGTCACCTACCATGCTATTAGCACCCCTCCTGTCCCTCGCAATCTATTTATAGAGCGCAATCATTGCCCCTATCCGCCTTCCTTTTGCTTGACTAAACATGCACGGTCCTGCTTTTCTATGCAGGTGTTTGTTTACCAGTTGTTTTCTATGTCCAGCAGGTGACCCCACCACTTTGTTGGCTGGGACTGGAGTTTGTGTGTTTAACTCATACTAGGTGTATGTCTACACTTCAAGCTAGAGGTGTAATGTCCAGCTCCAGGTGAATGACCTATGCTTGCTTGTCCAGAGCTAGCCTGGGGCAGTCTCCACCAGCTTGAAATTATAGCTTGACGTGTGAACACATCTAGAAGTGCTGGTTTAGGAACATACCTGCAAGCAGGACTGGCCCCATATTCCACCACGGTCAGGCACTACTCCATCTTGCTATGCAGCTCGCTATTAACCATTGGTCCTGAGGGGACACATTTATAAGATGGTGGCTCTTACCAGGCTCCCTCCTCAACAGCCAGGAGGCTCACTTTATTCATGGGCTGTCTGCGAGCTCAGTGATGTGTGTTAGGAGTTCAGATGAATATACTGGAGTTTGGGCTGGAGGACAGGTAAAGGCTTATTTTTTTCTCTGCTGGGTAAAGTGCACCTACACCCGTACAGAAAATTTAAAAGAAAACAATATTGTGTATGTTTACATGAACTGAACAGGCTGCCCTGCAGCAGCACATGGTGCTGGGAAAGAACGATAAATGGTGGAGATGATCCCTTGGATCAGAGTTGGGTGAATGAGTAACCTGAGTTTTGCCTCTTGCTTGTAAGCAGATCACAGTAGCAAACATATGTTTGAAACTACTCTCAGACTTCAACGTGTAATTCTTACTCTGCAGCTCACTTGCCAGTGGCAGCTGTTCACTATTTGCCACATGGGCTATTTGGATTAGTTACATGACTGGTGAAACTGTTTCTGTTGGAATGACCTTACACATTCAATAGTAAATTTTAAATTTCCCTGTGGCAAGCATTTCATTTTAAATTGTACTGTCTTGCGTAAGCAAAGCTTCAATGCTTAAGGAAAGCACAAAGCAGGAGAAGTGAACAGTTCCATCAAAACTGATGCACACTCAATTGTCCCCCCACTCCTGCTATTCACTCTGCACTATATCAAGCTATAGAGTCCATCTACCCCAACTACATCATTTGGTGGGAAGCTCTATCCGGTAACACAGTATCAATTTAATAAGGGCTCAAATCCTGCCAGGCACCAAGCCTCCTCAACTCCCACTGGTTTTAATACGAGCTGAGAGTTCTCAGCTGGTCACAGGCTCAAGCCCAAATCCCTCAGGGCTAAACCACTTCCTTGTCCTTCCTTTGTACCGCTGTCTTGGAGGACATCATATTTCTTCCGTTTGTTTCTAGGTAGTCCCGGAGCTGATCTTTTTCAGGTTTGTTTCATTCCAGCCACCCTTTATTGGGTTTTGGTATGCTACCAGTATTCCCATAAATGCATAACTATTGTATTTAACTTTTGTACTGTCCATTGTATTGGTGTACAAAAGCTATAAATAATATCAAATA